CTGCTTTAAGCCAGTAATTACCTTGTAGACCACAACGTTCGGATGCTTCTGTTCTTTGGACACTCACCCAGAATTCATTGACTGTAAAGTACAACAGGTACAATATGTTTGTTTAGACCTGCTCAACTCCAGTCCAGGAGGAGCAGCTGTGCCTGTGCAAATAGGGAAAACTTATAATGTGCAGTGCCTCACCAGGGCTGCATTAGTTACAAGTTAGTTTTTCTTTAAGTGGTCTAAAAACCATAAATGTAAAATATATAAGTATTAGGTCTGTCTATTAATTATTCACATAGAAATGAAAGTATGTTCATATACAGTACAGCTTATATAAAATCAGAGGCTAAAAATAGAGAAGAAATTCATATTGGAAGTGTATTGAATACTGCACTGTGATGTATGAGCTTAGTTTGACAAAGCACATATTTCAGATAGTCTTGGTTAAGGGTAATACAGAAATAACACTGCTTCACATTTCATATTCTAATGAGAACAAGAAGCTGACAAACAGCCAGACCCTTTCAACACCCTCAACAGCTAGGTCAGTGGGCCAGTCCAGTGCATACTATGGCTTCTGAACCTGACTCGGATACTCAGGCTTATCAGGACCTGGCTCACAGCTGGCTTCATTTCAGAACGCCTGTCAAACCAACAGTTAGTGCTATAGAATATAGTGTTACTTCATATGCTGATGATACTGTTGAGCTATGTTTAATAAGACCTGGTGAAATACACCCACCACAGAGCATATGACATACACAAGCAGTGCTCCCACACACTCAGGCACTGAAGATATGAGTGAGTGTGCCAAGACTGCAAAGTCACAAGCCTCTTAATGTCTGTGCTCACTCACAGACACACAGTCTCTTTGAGGAAGTCACAGGTACCCTTATGAAAAACAGAAGTATTAATGACCTCTATTTCCCTAAAAACCTTCTGTTCAAAGAAAGACACTGAGGCCTTCACAAATATCTATCAATAAAGCGCACTCTCTCTTGCCCTGTCGAAGGCATGTGTAGAGGTGGGCTGTGCCAAAGGGGGATGGGGCTAAATGCCTGAGATTCTGTGCAACTCTCTGTGCTCCTTTTCACGTAGTAATTTTTTTTCTTCTTTAACTCAATCATGTTTAACTACAGGCGACCAAGGCAGCTTGGCATTGCAAAGATAGCAGAGAATGAGTATATGTGTGTATGTGTGTGTGTGTGTGTGTATGTGTGTCATTTCTGTCACAGTAAGGAAGCAGCTCGCCACTACACTGTCTAGTGTAAACACATTAAAAGCCACATTTTTCCAGAGCTGTGTGCCTAACATGTGACCAGAGGAAGTGTCCTTTGTATGTTGTATGAGGCCCATTTTGCCTTTTCTCCTCGATGGTTATGGTTTAAGCCAAAATTAAACATACACATTAAATGGCCAAAATTAAACATATACAATTTTGCCCTCAAATGTAGTCGATCATGTTCTGTATCTGAAATTTTATGAATATAACTTCTCAGCCAAACTAAATCTTTTGAGGAAAGTGAGTGATGATTTCCTGGCTGTTCCTTTAAAAAGGCCAACAGTGACTGTGCTACCATCAAATCGGACAGGAAACGATGTCACAAAGCCCCCTTGTTTGGGATCTTGTGTACCAGAGACATATATAATTCATATCTCTGTCTCCTGCCTGTAGTGATGACTATGCTCCCAAAGCACACATGGCAGTATATAATAGAGGATAATCTTTTGACTCTTTTGCTTTATCAAATAAACATTTTATCAAATAAATGTTTGATAGTAATGTTCATAGTCAATACAGGAACAACCAAAGGCTTCTACATTTAAAAACAAACAAACAAAAAAACAATCCCTCTACTGGCTAAGGTCAACGGAGAAAACTGTCCTTAAGTAACATCAAAATAAAATACACAGGCTGAATCTCAGACAGACATCTGTCCTGGACTCTATTTCATATGAATGATTTGTTTACAGTGTTTAAAAAAAAAAAAAAAAGAAGAATCGTAAAACATGCCATTTGTCCTATCTAACTTTGTTACCTTCCTCTCTGGAATAATAGATCAGGTTCTCAGACATCTTAAGATCCTGCTGCCCATTCGAGTCCAAAGTACTGAAAGATCCACCCCCTCCCTGAAAGACAAAGAAAGAGAAAGTAAGTTAGAGTGAGAAAGGGAAAGAAAGAGAGAGCTGCTGAGTGTGCAGAGTTGCCCTTCTGATTCCCATAAAAGCTCAAATTCCCTTTTGCCTTTGGAAATTCCCAGCATGTATCCGGAACATGCCTAGACATTCCCTGTTCATTCTGTACACAAACACAAACAACCTGAGACAAGGACAACCTAGTGCAGTTTAGTATTTTATCATTATGTACTTCTCAATTTCTTTGATGTGTGGTATTTTTCATTTATTTAAGCCTGAGTACTTAGATCATTAACAAATACCCTTTAGTCATTCATCCGTCTATCTTCAGTAACTGCTTTATGCTGGACAGGGTCGCAGTGGATCCAGAGCCAATCCCAGGAACACTGGGCGTGAGGCTAATAAAGCCCGAATTATTAAAATGGGCTATATATACACAAATTTACATTAATTTAATTCCCATTTAAGATATAATTTGTTATCTTCAGCGGAAACAACTTGACATTATCAAATGTCACTTTGGAAGACAGTGAAATAAAAGTGTGCATCTGACATCACTAAATGCCAGGCCATGTGAGAGTAATATTATTAAACACTTTTCATCTCGGGCCATGATGTCTCACCTGAAAGGCAATCTCACACATCTTCTCCACCCACTCATTGGTGACTTGCTTTTCAGCTGCAAACACATGCGTCTTATCGTTGGTCTCCACACAGAAGGCCGCCATGTTCTCTTTAGGACAGCTTTCGGTGAGGGCAGGAAGGATGCTGATGCACTCTGACAGACGAATGATCTTTTTGTCTAGTTTTTTCGTGCTGGGTTTTTCAGTGCCATAACCTGCACAGTCAAAGAACTCGAGTCGTGCAATGCCGTTTTGACTCGCCGGATACAGCACGAACCAGTTCTTCTTCCATTTCTGAAAACAGATTGAGCACAAGAATAAGGAGATATAGAGATGGTTATACTTTAACTTCTGTGATACAGTTTGGCAGTAAGCAAGGGCAGAGGAACGTGGAGGAATGCCAGGTACATTTAATGGGTCTTGGCACATGCAAAGATGTACACACAAATAATGATCAAGCTTGAAGAATTACACCACTTAAACAGACACGGTCTTTAAAGCTATTGTTTGGATGAAGGATGAATTATTTGTGATGCCCTTGACTAGAAGATCAAACATGGGGTCATGAATGTTAAGCTTGCTGGTGGATGCAAGATTATCATGAATCATTTGAATTGGAGAGTTGCCTTTCATCCACAGTGAACAGAGGCTGGATCTGCACCATTCCATCTTTTCTACACCTCAAATAAGGGCCCTTCGCACCACTTTAGTTCCAGAACTAAATGTACAGTACTAAAGTACTGGGCGATTTTGCGCGAACTATTTCCCAGTGCCATTTAAAGGGTTGCATTCGCACCGACAGTGGGCACTAGGAAGTGACGTAAGCCGGTCGACAGCGACGTCATTTGTGCGCGGCGTTCAACAACGGAAACAAAAAAGAACAATGGAAACAACCAGAGGATGGAGGACGCTGTGATCGGAGCTGTGTTGCACTTCAGCGTCCGTCCATCTATCGCTGTTCTCCATACTTGTGAAATAAGTTGACACTACAGTATGTTTACACGGCGTTTTATATCATGGCGGGTGAAGGCGTTTTCGTACGCGTTTGGCCAATCGATGTCTACTTACGTCACGGATAGTACCAGTTGTGCTGGTTAGACCCTGCTCAGGAGTAGGAGCTTATTTGGTTCTCGAAAAAGGCAGTCCGGTACTAAAATCACACCCGGTTCCGGAGGTGCGAAAACGCCAAAAAGTGGGTAGTTCCACAATTAGTTCAGGTACTATAAAAAGGTTCCCGCGGTGCGAAAGGCCCTATAGCCTCTCACTGTTTGGCATCATACCCAAAAGAGAGACCTCTTAGTTACATCATGGCATCTTTATTTAGTGTTTGGGTGACTATGCTGAGGTTACCACGAGGAAACTTGCCACCAGTGACTATGAAGGTCTGTCCTCCAGATGCACAAAAGAGGGAAGGAAAGCTGGGAGGTTGCGTGAATAAACAAACTAAGTGACCAAGGACACTAGTGTGTCTGTAAAACAGTAACATAGCTCACCACAATACAGTGTGCATTTGCATATGATATTCAGCCATACCCTGCAGCCTGATACTGTACTATTAATAAATATAGTGTTGTGTTTGCTCAACCTGACTCTCCACCACAGCCTCCAATTGCTTTCTAACGTTACTCTACTTCGAAAATAGCTTCTCTACTATTTTTAGCAATTACTTTTAATCTACTAAATTGTGTGTTTAACAATGAAGGATTCATTTCCAGTTTAGAATAATAATGATAAAAAATAATCTGAAGCATTTGGTCAGATAGCAAATGCAGACTGTTGTACAGACTCAGAATGAGCCGCGTTACAGTTCTGAGCAAACTCATTAAACGCTACACAGGTGACAATTTAATAATAGTGCAGTATCGGGCTGCATGATATGGACAAAAATAGCATTTCTAATTATAATGATACATATGTCTTGTACTATGTTTAAGCAAACTTGTGAAGCAGTGATGCGTCACAGTTTTTTTCCTGGAACCTCAGCTGTTGGTCAGAACGACCACAGAACCAAATAAAGAAAAACTGTGGTTTGTTTGAAATAGGGGTTGGCAGTATAACAAAAAATATTACTCATATTATTCGAAGACATTTTATAGGCTACATAATCTGCACTGATTTTTTTATATTGATTTTATTTCACTAAGAATGATGCATAATTGATGTATATATTAATTAAAAAAAATTCAGTAATACATTTTAACCTTTTAATTGTTTTTTTTTATTTTTTTTATTTAAAAACTATATACTGCCATACTGCCTAATGGTTAGAGAGTTGGACTTGTAACCCGAAAGTCGGGGGTTCGAGTCTCAGGTCTGGCAGGGACTGTAGGTGGGAGGAGAGAATGACCAGCGCTGTCTTCCTCCCTCAATATCAAGACTGAGCTGAGACCCTTGAGCAAGGCACCCAACCTTAACTTCAATATCGGTATTGCAATAACAATTAATAAATAATATACATGAAGCCCTGACATAGAACAAAAAGAGCTTCCATTCAATTATCAAAGCCTTTTTGGTTGCTGTGATGGCCTATAAAGCCATAAAGGCAGACATGCTGGTGTGTTACAGGAAAACAAGTGGGAGTAGACTTATATATAAATGTGATAACCAAACTCTAGTGCAGAGGAACAGTGAACTCCACGACAGATTAATTTCTGATTTAAAGCGTACATTACGTTATTGCAACATTACACATCAAGTCAAGCCACACTAGACCTAGTGAAAGACAGTCTTGTTAGGTCATTCAGGCATCCGGTTGCATTATTACAAGTCATATTCCACAACTGTGTACTTCCTGCGACTTCATTCCTGCTAAACAAACAGAGCGTTGTGCAGTTCTGAGATTCTTACAGTCAATGTGTTAAACATGTGAATGATAATATAACAACAATGCTAAAAACAACAGAGTATGAGCAAATGTTACAAGTATACATGTAAGAGGAAAATGGGGGGAAATTGTATTACACGGTCACACTGCTTAAACAGGACAAATCAACATAAACAGGAAAAATATCTCTAGTACAGTTTCAAAGAGGCAATTTAAAAAAAAAAATAAAAAAAACACACACAGCTTAATAGGGAGCAATGAATCTGCTTTATTAATCTATAATGTACGTGTGCATCTGCCAGTGTAGCAAAAAGGAAATGTGTGGGATTACCCAGTGTGCTTTGCTTCCTCCAACACACTGCAGGTGTACAGAAAATCAGCAGATCTCCATCTGCAAAACTCATCTGAGCCTCCTGTCCCGAAAGCACCACAGTGAAAACCAATTTCATACTACAGACGGCTCAGAATGACACTTGTGTCCTTTGTCAAAATTGTACTGTTGGCTTTCAAAAAGAAATTTTCCTTTGAACATTTGAAATGACTAAATACTCACTGTATTTATCTAGAGCAAACCAGTAGCTGATGTGGAGACTACCTAGATGTGAAGAGGTATATAAAAACTATTATCTCAAAAGAAAATTGAATTTAAATCAAACCTAGAGAACAGACGCACCTAACAGCTGACACTTTATTTAAAAAAAAAGTACATACATAAGATGTACACAATCTGTACAAGCATGTAAAATATAATCCTTATCAACAGGAGACAACTAATCACAGTTCAAGAGACATCTGTAACACACCGTGTTGAATGTATAACTTATTTGACGTTATTGTAGGGTACGCCTCTAGTAGCCTGTGTTTTTGATTTCAAGCGAGTGGAATGGAAAATGAAAATAACACGTTTAGTACAGTTACTAATATTATATGTGGGTGACACTGCCCTAACACATAACTTTTACACCTTTTTAAGTTCTGCCTGACAAAATGCAAGCAATGTATCACACTCCTAACTGATGTAATGCTATGGTCATTTGTTTCTCCCTACCTGTATGATCTTACAAAGCTTCAGTTTACTCTTGAGGTCAGGGCTCAGAGGTTTACACTGTGTATGTACATCTATATCATGTTTGCAGCGTGTGGGTGAAGCAAAGTTTTACTAGGTCAGATACAGCAGAATAAATCTATTTCTGTTCAGCATTCATGCTTTCGACCGGATCCCCTACATCTCAGGTTCTCAAATTTGAACTGTAAAATTGCTTCCCCTTGAAGCGTAAAATGAATTCCACTGATCCATCAGTACAGATTTATAAACATAATCCAACTATTCACATATCAGGCTTATTATTTAAAGGTGTACAATAATAATTTGCCTATTTACTTTGGTGCCATTAAGATTTCCATTTCAGACTTTTACACCAACAAAACACATTAGGTCTAAGTTATTTATAATTATTTATAGTTCAACTTGTTTTGAATTATTGAGGTTTGGATTAAACCAATTCAATGCAAATGACCATCAAACAGGCTAATAAGTATAAGAACTTGATAATAAATATAATAACTTTGACAATGCTAGATTGTGATTTCTACCACTGTAACTAACTAAAAAAAAATGCACCACATCTATGATTCACAAAAACCTACAGACAGGCATCACACTGTGTCTCTCCTCAGCTCTTTTGACATACTTGCACCTCTCAGATTCAGACTCAAATTTCCCTAAGACTTTAGCAAGGCCTTTAATAACAGACTACATTTTCTGCTTTACCTGTCTACAAACGAATGGAGCAACGTGCCATATAAGATCAGTCATTGTTGACATTTGTGTAAGAAACTGAGCAAGTATTTTGACTGGATTTCTTTCTTTCGTTCCTTTAAGGAAATGGCATTTAATATGAAGAGTTTTTGGGTCCACTGTATTTTCTGCTCTAAAGCTGCTCAGTTTCTTCACATTTCTTTCTCACAATATTCTTGTTAATACAAAAATGAAATGTCTGAAACTCTTCAGAACACATCATATTTGTAAATACCATCCAATACGCCCATGTCATTGATAAACTACCAGTTAGCTTCCTGCTTTGGCTAGTCAAAGTCTAATTAAGTACACTGTATGGCCAAAAGTTTGTTACACCTGACCATCACATCCATATGAATGTCTTTGTATGCTGTATCATTACAATTTCACTTCACTGGAAGGCCAAAACCTGTTCCAGCATGACAGTGCCACTGTGAAGAAAGCAAAGTCCATAAAGACATGGTTTGCCAAGGTTGGAGCGGAAGAACTCGAGTGTCCTGCACAGAGCCCTGACCTCAACCCCACTGAACACCGACTGCACCTCAGACCTCCTCAGCCAACATCAGTGCCTGACCACACAAATGCTCTTGTGGCTGAGTAGGCAAATCCCCACAGCCCTGCTCCAGAATCTAGTGGAAAGCCTTACTGGAGGAAAGGGGGACTAAATGTGGAATGGGATGATCAACAAGCACATATGGGTGTGATGGTCAGGCATCCACATACTTTTGCCATATGGTGGCCATAGAACTGGTTGTGGAATTAAAAAACAGCCTGGGGTGAGACATGAAGGAAAGGCATGGAAAAATGTTTTTTTTTTTTTCCCTAGCCATCTCACTCACTTTTTGGAAAATGGAGAAAAAATATGTTACGTTTCTTGGATGGCATAAGAATTTGTACAGTTCAAGGATATTTACAATCAAAAGCACACAAAGAATGATCTACAATCCACTGCAACACCAAAGAGAACTGAAACCAGAATAAAACCCAACTCGTCAAATCCAAGAAGTTTAATTTATGATAAACGTCAAATTTTAAGATGTGATTTCAGCACAGTTACGCCACCAGCGCCATATAAGGTAAGAGTCAGTCCGTGGAATATGTTACACAGGATGGAACTTATGCAAATAAGGCAAGAGAGAGTAACTTCCTCAAATCTGCGTCCTTGTCTTATCAGAAGTATAACAGTGGCGTGATAGACACACGCAGACATGTGCACCTTTCCCCTTTAGGCCTTATAGTGGGATATGACTGCAAATATCACATAACTGATTATTCATGTTAAATAACCAGAACCATGGGTACAACTTGTAGCAACTTGCACATAAAAAAAATCCAAGATACTCACCCAAAGATATGTACGTGATACTTATGCTGATAACACATCATTCCCTTATTACTCTCATAGCTGGCTTTTTAGATTAATGAGTAACCATATTTGATATTCTATAAGAAGCTTTCTGTGTAGACACTGTTTCTCTCACAAATACACATTATACTAAGTGCACATGGGTTCTGTGTGGTGTGAGGACATAACTGAGACTAAATGTGAAAGGGTGTTGATGCAGTTGAGCTACAATATCGTTATTTAATGATAAAAACATGGCAAAATGGCTTTGGTAGCTGAAGATGTCTTAAGTCTTAATGTGTCAAGAAGAGTATAAGGACAAATAAGGGTTTAATATTGTGTTAAAGCATTAGAAGGTCTCTCCGGAAATAAAAGACTGTTGTGGTGAAATTTACAATTACTCAAAAAGCCCCAAAAGAGTACTAGATGTCTTGTAGTTCTGTTTCTTAGTGCTGCTGCTGGGAGGTTTGTGACTAAAACACAGAGAAGTATGTTACTAAAGCGGAAAGACAGCACGTTCTATTCTGGATCACTTTGGTATCAGTTCTTCACCTCAGTGTGTTAAATGATGTGCGTGTGTGCGTGCGTGTCTGTTTGTACTGTATCTAGAGTGAGGAAAAAATGAAGAAAACATGCCACTGTGAAGAGCCCTGCCTGAAGGCATTTATTAAAGCACAGCTCAATCACTTGATCACAAATCTACAAGTCCTCATTTGGTAAAAGACAGTCACAGAGAGTCTCTGTGAGGCCACTGTCTACTCTTAGTACATTCGTAACAGACCCAGACCCAGGGTACTTGGTCAAAGGCAACATCCCCCTGGACTCCATGTTACATAAACATGAGTCTCAGAAGGCAGTACAAAGTTTGTCAAGGTCTTAAAAGTTGTCTAGCACAAACCCACACAATACTCTGATGTTTTGATCCTAAAGGTCAATGTGAAGGTCAAACATGTTCTGGGGCAAACTCCTACAGTAACAACACCAAAGGTTACTATATAAAATGTTTTAAAAGGCATTAGCTGAGTTTGAGCTACTTTGGGGAACAACAAGCACTATAAAAGTTATTGAAGTTATTTTATTTTGATATGCATAATGAATACACATACGATTTCCAACACACAATGATGGCAATTAAGATTTTGTGTACAACTTGGGTATGGTTTAATAGTCTCAACTCCAATCTCAAAGCCCAAACACCCTAAATTCTGAAGTGATTTTTTTTTTTTTTAAAAGCATGAAACAGAATCCATAACCCTCTTACACATACCACATACCACCTACATCAACTTCCTGAGCAACCAAACACATGTCCTGGTTTACCTCAGTCTTTATTAGCACATGCACTAGAGAAA